AAGCGGGTAAAGATAATGGATGGATGGATGGATGGATGGATGGATGGATGGATGGATGGATGGATGGATGGACGTCATCAGTCTGAGGCCTGCCAACACGATCTGCCGTATTAAGTAACACCTTGCTGACGTGTTTCAAACCAGTCTGCTGTTGAGGGGGTGGCCATGGCTGAGTGGTTAGAACAGATGTCTTCCAATGCAAGAGTTGGAGGTTCGATTCCACCAGCAGTCACATGCTGAAGCATCCGAGGGCAAGATGCTGAACCCCTCATTGCCACCGATGTGTGTCCCATCAGTGTATGAATGTGATAAAGCACTGATTATTCTCTGTATAGATCTAGTAGAGTGCTGTATGAATGGGTCAATGAGGGGCACAGATTGTAGTGTAAAATGTTTTGAGTGTCTTGATAAGACAGAAAGGTGCTATATATAAGTGCAGTCCATTTACCATTTGAGTTCCCAGGCAGAATGGCTTTACACTTTCTTTTTAACTGTTTTGACCCGGTTGTCCTTGTGCTGGTTTGGTGAGTAGTAAGCATCCATTTTGCCTATAAGAATATGATTGTTATGCACTGATGATCGATTGTTTTAGAGACTGATGGTCTTCCATTTTGCATGTAAACTCATGCTGCCTGGGAACTCAACTCAGCAGGTTTGATACACGTCAAAATGGTGCTACTTAATACGACAGACCCTGTTGGCAGGCCTCAGACTGATGAAGTCTTTTGGATGAAAGACGAAACATTTTCTTCCAAAAAAAAAACTGTCCAGATGACATTATTTAACTTTTTTGTGATTTATTTACCTGGATGATTGAGCCTACTTACTCTTTTTCTTACAATAATTAGAGTTTTTATTCAACAAATGTTTGTTTTAATCCACGGCTAACATGTGCAGGCTTACACACATGAGTAAAGCCTGATCATCAGCATTACGTGTTTCATGAATTCAGAGTATCTCAGCAGCATCGAGCACCACCCAATCGGTCTTGACGGCTGTGCTTGAGCACTAGTGTATTCTGCTGAAGGTGAGGAAAGTGCAGGGAAAATGGAAGAAAAAAAATTATATGAGATCAAGAAGGTTTTCAAGTACTAGCCACTTTTTCTCATTCAGAAATCCAATACATTTCAAGTAGATTAACAGAAATGTTTCTGTTTGAATTATTGCTGGCACATTTGAGTTGTATTGTTTTGTCCACAGTATTCATTTACATTATTTTTTTTTCTATTTGTTCTCCTTTCCATTCATTTTTAGGGTCTCTGATGTAGAAAAAAAAAGTTAGATGTAAAATTGAAAACTTACCACCTGATGTGAGTGGAGAGTCAGCGAGGAGAGTGAAGAAAGAATGGGCAGTTATAAATAGCAGTAGTCTCTCCAGGACGGCAGGTTTTTAATTAACAATAGAGTGTCTGATAATCCACTGTTAATCCAAAAGAGAAGAGGGAGGAGAGCTGGGAAGAAGAGAAAATTGTCAGCTGTTTGATGTTAGGACTACAAGTCCCTTCTGGCCTTTCCCCCTGCTTGCTTCTGAGCTGCTCTGTGCTGTAATATCCATAGCCCAAATGTATTTATGTAGTGAAAGTGCTGTGCTCCATATTTTGTGATTCACTTTGTCTCTTACTAACCACTGTCTGTTCCCATTAATGTGAATGTGTGTGCTGCTCCTCTTAAACTGCCAAGGATTCTCAGTGCTTGTATGTGGCACTAGTGGGTAGGGGCTGTTTGTTGAAAACCAGCAGACCGAGGGCCCTGTTGGAGCTGGGAGGGGGTGTCTGGTTTAAGCCTGTTGAAATGTCTGATCCACTGGGGAAACACTGGAAAGAATTAAGCCTTCTTCCCCCTCAAAGGAAGATGGTTATTTTCAAACACTCTGAGCAAAGGGGTGTAAGATTTGTCTGTTTTAGGCAATTGCAACAATTGAAACGAAAATGTTGTTTGCACCTGCTGTAAAATCAAATGATAAAAGTTTAGTTTATGTACTGCGCTCACAAGATAAAGCAGAATGGCATTTGTAGTAATAAACTAAAAAAATTAATGCTTTAGGTACCGTATTGTTTTTACATATAAGTCACAGTTTTTTGCATAATTTGCATGCCCTGTGATTTATTGGCTGAAATGACGTATTTAGGGATTTTTTTTTTCCCATATTCATAAACTAATTTTTGGCTGAGATATGATCGTTTGCATTTATACTCACTGAAAAAATTGAACACTACCATTTTCAGCCACTAGATGGCAGTCAAGTATTAAGGTATGCCATTGTACTATGTAATAGTAATAGGTAAAAGTGGCTATTAATGACACAATCGGCTTCATTTCGCTGCTCTGCCCTGGCGAAATGCAGCTGATTTTACCATAAAAGTGCATTTATTAAGGAAAAATTATACTGAGACACAACTTTACTATTATTTAGAGCAAACAAATAATTGTTTTTAAGTGTTAGTCTTGTTAAATTCTTGTTAAAGTCTTCCTGTGTGCGCTTCCGTGGCCACCATTTGACAGCCCATCAGTTTTTGGCACAACACCGACCCACATTTCAGGGTTGTCCGCAGTGGCGCGTAACAAATGCGACGCATCAGCGGTGATGCATAATAGATGCGACGTATACGGCGAAGCAATTTATGTATGGATTTTTCCATTTTATTAGACATATTTGGACTGATGCGGTTTATAGGACGGTGCAACGTGTACAATGGAAAATACGGTAATTTCTTCAAGCTCCAGTAACTCATGAGTGCAAGGATAAGAGTTGGAATATATATTTTTTCCTTTTAATGTATATTTTTATTCAATTTACTTGTTTGTTTCCGTATTACTTTTTAAAGTTAAATGTTTTTGGTGGGCAGGTTTGATTTAAATCTTTACTGGATGGAGAAATGAAACGATTCCTGCAAGAAGACTCTCTCATCCATCATGTTTTAAAATCAAAGAGCAACTACAAATCAAATTTTACTTGGCACAAGATTTGTTAGATTCACCTCAAGGTGTTGAGATCTCTGGGCTGCAGTGACTGTGATTTAGTACATTTTGCTGGTTTTCTCAGGGAAAGGGGAACAGTGTCCAAAAGATGTCTGTATGAGAGTAAGAACTGAGTTTCAGTTTTCAGTTCTGAAAAAGGACAAGCTCTAAAATATATATATAATATTAAAATAGCCTCCCTCATCACTGAGTGGTCTACATCAGATTTCTGCTTTCCCCTCAAACTAGTAAAGTAAAAGTACAGGCAAGACCAACTCTTTAATCCAGTATGGAATATAAGACTACTAAAATTTTATACGATACAAAACAAGATGTGAATTAAAAACACACTAAATGACTTTCATTTTCCTTTTTGTATTTCTTGACATTTCAGGGCAGAGCCTTGGCTACGGCTTCGTGAACTACATCGACCCAAAGGATGCAGAGAAAGCCATCAACACATTAAACGGACTCAGACTTCAGACAAAAACAATTAAGGTAATCAGCGCTGCATTCGTTCATTTACATTTCAAATAAACAGTTTCGCAAAGGAAAAAAATAACACCATTTTATTTGGTGTTTCAGTAAGTTATAGAGGTAGGTCATGTTGATTTAAAAAGCTGATTTCTTCTGTTTGAGAGGCCTTTTAGTTAGAGACGCTGTTATGGAATGTGCCGCAGGGTGAGATTAGATTAATATGCTTGAGCCACAGGAATGAAAAGACCATCAAAATCAAAAAAGAGCATTAAACAGCTTGTGACTGTGGCTGATATGCAATTTACTTTTCTAAATGTCAAAATGCATAAGGTAAAATAGCATATGTATATACATTTATAGTGAAAGGAAAGAAACGTTTTTTTTTTTTCATTTTCACAAATTAGTGAGGTCTCGGGAATTACTTTATTAATTTTATTGCGTGCTTAATTATTTTAGCAGCATGACTAATAGCCAGGATTAGTTGTTGTTCATGAAGTAAGATGAATATATCTCATTCAAGCTAATCTGAAGACTTAAAAAAAAATAATCCCCACATGTATTTAATTGGCAGATGTTCTACAACATATGCATCTTGTTGTTTATCAAATTTTCCATCTCTTATCTGGTGCTGTCATCCTCTCTCGTCCCTGGATGCATTGCTTTCAAAACGGTCTGTAATTTGTTGTCCCGTGGCAATCCCTGGCTTCTTGATGTCTGTCATCCGACTTAATCTGATCTAGTCCAGTCTAATGTAATCTAATAGGATGGGATTATCTTGTTTACATGTGTTGAATCCTACGGAGAATCCCTCCATTCCCTAGAGAGCTTAAACTGTTCGGTTTGGCTCTGATCAACATGGCATTCTATCTATGAAGTAAAAATGTGGTCAAATGATTTAATGTGTTTATAAATGGATGGTGGAAATGTGTATTTGTATGTAGCAATATGATATGTAATATTAACACGTTTGAGATATAAATGTTTGAATATTAGGGTTGTATCAGCATTCAAACATAAATTTGCATATGCACACATTTACAGTAAAAACCATCTGAGCATTAATCCATTTTATATACTTGTGTGTTCCTGATCATGGCCGGTCATTGGGCAAAAGGTGGGGTACACCTTGGACAGATCGACAGTCTGTCAGAGGGCCACCTAAAGAGGATTGAGAGTGACAACCATTTACACTCTCACTCACACATAAGGACAATCTAGATGAGCCAATTGATCTAGGATACATGGTTTTGGATTGTGGAAGGAAATCAGATTAACCAGAGAAAACTCACACATCCAAAAAGGCTCATATGGGATTAGAATAGAACCTACAGCCTTTTTACTGTAAGAAACAGTTCTGACCAACTACCCCACTATGCTGTAAGTCAGAACTGTTAAAAAAAACTAGTTTAATTAAAGCACAGAGTATAAATAGTTCTGTATAAAGTTTATGAACAAATAACAGCCTACCTGTTGTAGACGGCACTTTGTTTCTCCAAACTATTCAGACGTTAGTTTTGAGTGTAACGATGAGCCAGTGGCTAGTCTCTGTGTAGTCAAGAACAATGTGGATTGTTGCTGTCTTAAAACAACTGCAAATTTTAATATTTTCATAGCCATTAATGTGATCTCATCTCTAAAAACTTTTTCACTGCCATGGATTTCACATTATAGTAGCCCTCCGATCATCACGGGGGTTACGTTCCAAACACCCCCGCGATAGACGAAAAACTGTGAAGTAGGAATTATACATACACACACACACACACACACATATATATGTATATA